ATACCCAATTAATCCTCATTTCTGATGCCAGTCTAAACGCTTCCATTGCTCTGACCAAGGCTGCCATGGACGAGTTGGAGGCTCGTATCAGCACCGTTAAATCATCTGCGAACATGATTACTGTAGGAAATACGACATGGTGCGAGGAGCCCACATTCATTTCAGGCAGTCTTTGGATAGATGGGTCTATGGCCCCAATTTTTTTTCCTTCTGTGAAATTTTCAGAAGGGAGGGGCACATTTGGCTACCACATCCTTCCCTTTTCTTTTTTTTTCCTTTTTTTTCTTTTTTAACCAATTCTCGATTTATGCGTGTCATCCTTTGCGCAGGGGCCATGCTGATCTTCATTCTCTGTATCGTGCCAATTTTAACGGATTCAACTTTTTTAATCAACCCTATTTATTGTGCGAGGCCTAAGGCCCCGATGAGCCCCTTTCGGCCCTGTTTTGCATTGTTGTCGGCCGCCCTAAGTGAAGGCAGGCTCGACTAAGGCCAAGGAGGCCCCTTTGTCAGGCCACCACGCAACTGGGGAAATTCAGACAGTTGCACGGCGTCAGTTGGTTACAAGTGCCCAGGCCCAGGCAGCCATTTTGCAAATGTATCTGAAGTACGCCTAGGCCAGAGGCGCATACGGACGGAACACAGGCTGAGGGCAGTTGGGTACGGGCAACTAACTCAGACCCTGGGCCTGTTCTGTATGGACTGAGGCTCAGCGTCGTGGAGCCTACCGGAAGCTTCTGGGCCGGGCCCCAGTACCGCATTATCGCACGCAGCAGCAGGCCACTTGGATATAGGGAAGGGCCTGCCCACACATTGAACATTCGGGCACTGGCTGCATGCTGCGCTAACGCTGGCCAGCGCTCACGCGATCACGGGCGAGCTGGAAGGAGCAGGCAGCCATAGCCAAGCTGCGCTGCTGTATGCTGGATGGGGCGCATGGTGGTCCTTGGGTGCACGTGGCATCTGTGAGTTGGGGAACAAGGTTGTGAGTGATACGAGAGACATACCTGGTGCTAGAAGCGTACGGCATTGGCCGAGATCTGCTCGTACTTCGGGGGGCTGTTGACATCATCGGCGGCATTGTAGATTAGGCTAGAGACGATCTGCCATCTGTAGTCTGGGCGCCGAGCGCCAGATAGGTTATCGACATTGGTTCTTCGTTGATGATGATGAGACTATTCCGGCATTGTCAATTATGAGCTTTTGCTGTGCTCTTATTTGGTGAAACTCGTGATGCAATTCTGCTATTGGTTCGAGGTCACGACTATCTGGTCTCATGCGTATGATGCTGTTTGATTTCTGAAGTTCGCTATCGCTCATTTTCCTTGCAATTGGGGTGCGCCGTAACACATGCGCGTGCGCTAAGCGATGCACGTGCGCAGCTTGCACGTATGTGATGCACTGCATGTATGAATAATAAATTAATAATTGTTCGGTTTTCTCGTGCGCTGTTCTAAGTTCCATGTCTTGGCTTCCAGTGTGAACTCTCACATGAATTTTTTGTGCGCATGTTTGGAATTGTGTGTTGATCGAGGGGAGGGTCATTGCAATGCAACCCAAAACAAACCACACAAAAAAAAAAAGTCAGAACAGCCGCAAGCTGGCTTCTTTGTTTTTTCCTTCTGTGTTTTTCAATTTTTTATTTCTTTTTTTTCTTCTTCAATTTAGAGAGAATTTTATACCATTTCTCGGTTTGTGCGCATTATCCTTGCAGGGGCCATGCTAATTAATCTTCTCTGTAGTGAGTTTGTATTGTTCCAATTTTAGTGGCTGTCCTGAAGGACCGGATTAAAATTTTCAATCTTTCCCCCCATTATGCACTACTGTTTTCACCCGAATTGAGCGCCTGGTAATTGTAGTACTGTAATTTTTGGTCTAGATACAGCAACAATGACCTGGTCATCATACTGGTATTTACTGTAACTTTCTGTCTGTATTCGGGTGAAGATGGTAGCTTCTCGGGGGGGGGGCACAAAAAGCCAGCTGCATGCTTCCAGTTTTGAAGATGGGGTCCTCTAGAAACTTTCAGGAATATGATAAGGTAGAAGGAATAAAAGTATGAGGGGAGGGGGCGAGGGTGGAAAGGGAGAAAAACGGAAAAGGCTGGGGTAAATTTATACTAGACAGAAGGTGACAACGAGTGACAATGAGCAATAAGGGTACAATGAAACTGTGAGGGCATAAGGCAGAATGGTAAAGGCATATAGTACACTAACAAAAATGGGAAAGATACATAAAGTGACAATGGAGCAGTGGAGATAATAAAGGCGTACAGGGGAGTAGTAAGCTAGAGAACACCTAAGGTTGTGCAGAAGGTAATAAAAGAGGGGATTGGTAGCAGCCAACTGAGGGTAGGGACACTATTGTAGGAAGGAACATGTAAGCAGGAATTGATAGGGCCCGCGAGGCTGCTAGGTACACTAACAAGATGGGAAAGATACATCAAGTGACGACAGAGCAGTGGAGATAATAAAGGCGTACAGGGGAGTAGTAAGCCAACTGAAGGTAGGGGCACTATTGTAGGAAAGAACATGCAAGCAGGAATTGATGCCAAGGGCCCTGCGAGGCTGCCAGGCATACCTCCCCCGCGCCTTGCCATCTACAGGACTCACCTTCTGCGTGTCTGGGTAAACTTGGTCTTTTCTGCTCATCTTTTCTTCTCCTCTCGTTGCGTTTCTTGTATAAACATGCTTGCCAGTGATGAGTAACCGGACTGACCCCCCCCCAGAATAGATGGGGCATGAGTGTTAAAAAAAGGGAAAAAAAACTTTCATACCTGTCAACATGTGCTAATTTCTATGCTGGAGGTCCTCACTTTGCACTAACTTCCAGGCTTGGAAAGTCAAGTGTGCCAGCCTCGTGATCGGATGGTGTGGGATTGTGGCCATTGCACTGCTCTTTTGCAGCATGTGCATTGGGCTTATCCAGGGTCAAAGCGGACGGTCAACAAGGGGAGTGTAGGCTTCCAGAATTCGCATGCAGACCATCTTATCTGTCTAGCCAGCCATGGAACATGTTGGTGAGAAAAGAACCTTGAACAGGTGTGGGAAAAATAATGGGATAGCAGTGGTATCAGAGCAAATAGTGGGGGATGGTGACCATGAAATAAATTGTGTATTCGAAGAGGTAGCCATAGCTATTACTTGTAGACTTGAGCAGATGTAGGCAGGTTGATGTTCACCCTGCCCTGCCCTGTCCTGCCCTGTTCTTCCCTGCCCTTCCCCGTCCCATCCAGTCGCGTCCAATCCCGTCTCGGCCCATCCTGGGTCGTCCCTTAGCGTCCTGTCCTGTCCTGTCTTGTCCTGTTTCACTTTGATTTGGACCCTGTCCTGTCCTAGTTTTCTTTGCACTTTCAAATGTAATTTGGACCGTTTCTTAAAAGATGTGTATGATCCTTATGCAGCGGCCAACTCGCGAGTTGATGATTTTTCTGGACTCAAAGATGTGCAATGATCCGGGCTCAAAATCCAGCAGTGAAACATGAACCTGAAGTCTGAGTCAAGGCTGGGCGCAAGAAACAGGTCTGAAGGGTCCCAGAGTCCATCAAAATAGTCCTCAGTTCTACCGAATATGGTGTAGTCCGTGTCTCATCCAAAGACATTTAGGATCCAGACTTGGGAAAGCCGTACAGAGTCCAAAGGATGGGGTAGAACGGTGTTGCGAAGTCTAAGGGTCATAGCTTTTGACGAAGACGAAGTTTGGATGTCAACAATTGATGCTACAGTAGTTCAGTCCCTGAAAAGTCTTCAGAAAGTCCTTAGGTTGGTAGGTCTGGGGTCCAGGGTCAAATTGAGGTGTCCAGGGCCTCCAGAAGTCAAAGTAGGCCCCAGAAATATCCACAGATAGTGGTAGCCATAGTCAGTAGAAGGTGCGGATGCACGATAGATGTAAGTGCGAGAACAGGGGAGATCTGGGGTAGACTCCAAGGCTTGGGGGGAAGAAGCAGCTTACTTGGAGAACGCTTACCTGGAGTGTACACCCATTGCTGTTACAGAGAACACCAGTGGTTGCACGCGCTTGACATTCTTCGTCCAAGACGCGGAGGTGGTGCTGGGAACTAGAGTTCATTTGGCACCATGGGTGCAGGCTGGAAGGAGGACGTAACCATTGTAGAAGGGTTGGCACCACGTACAAAGAGGGAACTTGCCTGTTGGCCGGCGGCCATAGGTACCTGAAGAATAGGGCTTGCAGCAGTGTTGGCACTTGTGCTATAGAGAGAGAGTGTGGCACTGGTGTAAGTGAGGTCAGGGAATGAGGGAGGAGGTCGCTATAGCTTCGGGGTGGCGAAGAAGTCGTGATTGAGGAAGGGGACTAGACATTGCATTTCAAGTTCCAGCATTTTTGCACCAGCCTGGGGTAGGCCAGCACTATATACTATATAGCATATATATACTACATATAGTATATACTATATAGCATATAGTATATACTATATAGCATATAGTATATACTATATAGCATATAGTATATACTATATAGCATATAGTATATAGTGTATAATATATACAGACCAACTTGGGAAGTGACATTGTGACAGATTGGCGGTGAAGGAGTGAAGAGAAGGTACAAGCTAGTAGGTATGTTGGGGTAGCGAGAAGAGAACCCATGGAAGAGGAGGAAGAGCAATTTAAACATTTTATTCATTGTTTACATTTTTGAGATAATCCCATGTTTGTGCTCTCTCCTTCACTCTGTCTTGTCGCTCATTGTATGTCTCAGTTTGTTTGTTATCATTGCGTTTAGCCTAGTGAGGTCTTCTCACTTGTGAGATTTGATCGTGGGCTTCTGAAGTTGGGTGCATTACGTGATGTCTATCTACTGCTGTTTTCGGAAACTTGTGCGTTGACGATTTTGCTTCAACAACCATCTTCATTTTATGATTTTTCAGAAGATGTTCGCTAAGTCTTTTGATTTCAAATTGTAATTTTAACAAACTCACTGTTGTGTCGGATTTACTTTGTATTCTTTTTCTGTGTTTTCACTTCCCTTGTCAAGAAAAGATCGCAGTAACGTTGACGCCAGGAGATTGGGCCACAATGAAGCAAACCCTGTGTGCATTTTTCAAAGACAAGATGGTGAAGGTGAGAGAGAGATGCAGTCTAACCCCATTCCATCCTTCCCTGGACTTTCAGAGAGATTAAGGGGAGATTTAAGAAGGTGGCGGAGGAGGTCTTCATTTCTTAAAACACCAGTACTTCGCCCAGCTATGAAGTCCGAGCCTCCTGCTACTGGTCTGCCGAGCCTTGCTGAGCCTAGAGCTACCGGTAGTGGGACAGCCTACCTTTCTAAAAACACAGAAAACAAAAAGAAAGCAAAAAAAGAAAAACAAAACAAACCAGATTCTGGATAAGCGCTAACGCCCTGCGCTAAGCCTCACGACTGCGCCCGCACCAACTCTCGAGCGCCGAAACTCATCGCGCCCACGAAGGCGCGAGTACCTCACCTTTCGAATTCTGGCGGGAAAGGACAAGGAAGGAGACTGTGTGCCGCCACGTCTCACCGCGCCCTCAGGTATGGTGTTCCCGAACCATCACGTATCATACACACAGGGAAGGGGAAAGGAGGAGGAGAGGAAAGGAAGAAGTCAAGGAAAGGGCCAGATTCATAAAGAACCGAGCAAAAGAAGGGAAGAGACGACATTCCATTATTGAATGGCAGCACGCGCAGAGGAGTAGTCATTTCGCACACGTGAACATTCACACATCCCTCCCGGTCGTTTTCATGGTCGGAGGTAGAGGCGGAAATTAGTAGTCACGCCATGCCACGCCACGCCTTCGGGCGTGGCTCTGCAGAATCAGACAAAAGGGAGAAGGATCGCAGGAGAGAGTAGGAGGAGGTACAAGAGACACACTTTGAGGAGGAAAGCAGAAAGAGAAAGAGAAAACAACTAAGAATAGGAAAAGAGCAAGGCATGAGAAGGGATTCGAGCACACTTACCAAAAAAAAGGAGATGAGAGCCGAAGAGAGCGACATGTAAGGAAGTCCTCACACGGAGAAGAAGGAGCGGAACACCAGTAACCAAGCTCTTTATCATTTCGGCTTTCAACGTTCGAACCGTCTCTCCCAAAGAGACAAAGGTAAGATCAGCGGCCCCTTTTTCAACCCATATTCGAGTAAGCAAGAGCTAGCGACTGGACAACTCGAGGAGCAGCTAAAGGGCAAGCATCTAAGAGGAGAGAAACGCCGGGGCACCACGAGGAATAGTTCCAGTTGCAGGAAATTGGCGACGAGCATCACCGTCTCCCGAGTCTAAGAACAGAGGAGCCTGGTGACGCAGTCACGACCGTCGTCGAAGATCTCGAAACTCGTAGAGGCTCGATTTCCATTAGAAGTCCAGGACAAAGCGAGCAAAGTTAGAAGCATCATCACGAAAAGCCTGTCACAGAGCAGACAAAGATAGGAAATTCAACACTTCAACCCCCCCCTCGTCTTACCACCCAACCCTCCCACCATGACAGTCTACACCCAAGCCCCC